TCATGAATAAGAATTAGTAACCGGTGGGGTATGAGGATGTTGACAACAGGAGAAGCTTTAAACTATGAATAAGAGTCAGGCAGGTGTACCCCTACAATCCCAGCAACTTGGGAGGTTGAAGCAGGAGGATTGCAAGTTCAAGACCAGCCTCAGCTACTTAGTAAGACTGTGTCTCAAAAAGTTTTTTTAAAAACAAAGGATGGGGATGTAACTCAGTAGTAATGTTCCTTGGGGTTCAATCCCCAGCAACCGCCCCCCCCAAAAATAAACTTCATGAATAAAATGATCACTCCTTACAGGACCAGTGCCACATTTGCTCACCCCTTAGCATCCATGGGGTATTGGTTCTGGGCCCCTACATGGACACCCAAATCCAAGAATGCTCAAGGCCTTTATATAAAATGGCAAAGTATTTTTATGTAACAAATTCACATCTTTCTGTATACTTTAAATCATTTCCAAACTACTTATAATACCTCCTGCAAAGCAAATGCTCTGTAAATAGCAGTTACATTATATTCTGTAGGGAATAATGACAAGAAAAAAAGTCTGTACGTGTTCAATACAAACTTGGTCATTGTAAACCTAACTGCAAGGTACATGTCAGCAGAACTGGCAATTCTGACCCATGGTGGTTGGGTTCATGGATATGGAGGGCTCACTATACACTTAATAATGTTTTGAAAGTCCAGAATTCCTCTCAGCTGATTGCCTTTCTTGTGCTCTCTTCTGCTATTGTTCTCCAGAACCTTATCAGAATCAGGACGGGCACAGAAACTATCTCCCAAACTGGTTTTGACCAATTTAGAACATACAATTTCCTTGATGCCCCAGGCCAAGCAATAAGAAGACAATAAAAGGTCAGACATCACTGACCTCCTTCTGGAGTGAGCCTAAACCCCTAAGGAAGTCCCCTCAGAGAAAGAGACTTGACAGGAAGAGTGCATGAAATAGTCTTGTCCTCTTCAAGTTCAGGCTAGGTAAACCACATGTAAGTGTGTGTGGGGGGGGCAGAAAGATCAGTGTGTCCCTCCATGCTGTACAGCTCCACTGCCCTCCCTGGAGGGACTTAGGCAGAGCTTCTTCTGGAAGACACCCCTGCTGGATTCTCCAGTTCCCTCCCCTAAGCCTAGACATAACAGTCCTGTTTTGGTAACCTTGAATCACTATTTACATTTTCTCATTTTGGACTGGTCAGTTCATCCACAGCAGCTGCAGGAATTACTCACTCCCATGCTACATATAAGAAACACTAAGCTAAAAAGTTGAGTGCCTTGCCCCAAGTTGTCATATGATAGGTGAATGTGAACACCAGAAGACAGTCCCCTTCCTCCTCGATGGCTGGGGAGATCACTCCAGGAATGTAAATTGTGATGGTGTCACAGGTTCCAAGGAAGTATTGAACCTTCTAAGAAACATTTTGATAATAACTTTCCTAAATGTGCCAGTTAAGACATATTCCTTTATCTTATCTTCAGAAATAACATAGCCAAAAAAGAATTGCCTTTACAGGTTATTCAATTCTTAATCTTAAGATTATCTTATGTATGGAGAGAAATTATTATACCCATCTAATAAATGAATAAACTGAGACCTGAAGAAGTGGTGTGTCAAATATCATTGCTGTGGTGTGGACTCAGAACCAGATCTACCTGAGTTCTAAAAGGAAAGTGACCACAACACTCAGAGCAACAAAGAGATCTTTATTGTGATGGTGTCTGATTAAAAAGGAAGGAAGAGAAAATAGAGAGAGAGAGAAGAAAGAGAGAGCAACAGAGGAAGGTCCAGCAGGAGAGAGTTGCTATAGCCAAAATCTAATGGGGTCTCTGGGTCTGCAAACTGCCTAGTTGGTGTATAGTGATTGGATCATACAGTAGTTGCTAAGGGTGTCATCTTCTGCCTTCAGGCAGACAGGTCAGGGGTCAGATGTGTGCTTCCTTTGCACCAGACTGGTGGGGGTTGAATGTTCAGTCTTGAGTGGGCTTGAGTGTTCATTCTTGAGGCAAACAAGTCATAAGAAACCAGACGGGTGAGGGTCCAGTGTTCAGCCCACATTGCAGCTAACATTTGTTCTGCCTGCTCTGCAACTAACATTTCTCCCTTTTTGTTTTTCTAAGTGGCTTGGGGATGGTGTAATTCAAACTGGCTACTTCCTGCTGAGAGGGGGCAGCGTGGGGCCTACCTGGGAGAGCAGGGGAATGTTCAGGGAAAAGCTTGGGAATACCAGAGCAGCTAGAAATAACATACACTGGCTATGGACAGTTATCTAGGAAAGGGCAAAGTCCATAAAGGTTCCTTGAAGCCATAGGTTGAGCAGTGGAGATCCTTGGTATCAGCCATTGGTCCTCTGGTGAGGACTCTAGGAAATATCAGAGGTGGTTTGGTTGAATCCAGTAATGTTAAGGTGATGACCTGATTGCAGCCAGTGGAAGGGCAATCACTTTGACCCATAAACTGAGAGTGGGTGATGCCATCCTGGTGCTATATTGCTTGGATATAGAAGTGCCATCTATGGGTTGAGATAGAAGCTTGAGAGAGATTAATGATTAGTAAAAGAAGGAGAGGATTGGCAAGAAATTTTGTGATTGGTGAGCATGGTGGAAGTCCAGAATGGGACATTTGGAACAGGTGTCTTTTTAAGGCGGGAGACATGGTACCAGGGATAGTGACCCAAAAGCTTGGCTACTGTTGGGGTAGTAAGTATGACTGTATGGGGTCCTGTCCAGTGAGTTTCCAACAATCGAGGATGCAATTCGTGAAGTAAGACTGAGTCACCCTGTTGAGAGGGTCCAATTCAGTTTGTGGTTGCACTGGGATTTAGGCAATGAGTGGCACAGGAGGTACCAGATTACATGTTCCCTTAGGAGTTTGTGTAGACGTGTGATAGGGCAAATAGGACACAAGGGGAGGAGTAGTGATTGGAAAGCTTTGGTTGGTTAAAAAGTGCACCCATAGAGTTGTTCCAAGGGGCCTGAGGGAGCTCTAGGGGCTGCCCAAATTCCAGTGAGGGTGAATGGCAGGAGATTGGGCCAGGAGAGCCTGGGTTCAATAGCAAGTTTAGTGAGGTGATCCTTGAGAATGCTGTTAACTCTCTCAACCTTACCCGAGGACTGGACTCGGTAGGGGATGTGGAGCCTCCAAGTGATGTTGAGGCCTTTGGAGAATAATTGAACAACCTGAGAAGTGAAGGCTTGACCATCATCTGACTGGATGGAGGTGGAAAGTCCAAACCTGGGAATGATCTGCTCAATGAGGATGGAGGGACAGTGTCAGCACTTTCCCTGGAGGTAGGGAAAGCTTCTATCCGACCTGAAAAAGTATCAATGAAAGTAAGTGGGTAGCAAAGTTTTTTGTGCCTAGTCATGTGAGTGAAGTTGATCTGCCAGTCTTCACCTGGCTGGTAGCTCCTCATCTGATGCGTGAGGAGTTTAGGTTTGATGCTTCCTTGTGGGGATACTGTACAGCAGACAGAACATGTGCAGTGGACCTGCTAGAGAGTAGTTCTCATTCCTGGGAAGTGAAAGAGGGGTTGTAAAAATTGGAAAAGGGGTCAGGGAGAATTTTAAATGGGGCAGAGTCTCTGGAGCTGGAGGAGTTGGTCATGAGTCATAGGTCTTCATCTTGGGTATCAGGGATTGCTGGTCTTGAAGGAGTAATTGATTGACCGACTGGTTGGTGAATTTGTGTATCTGATCTTGCAGGAACTTCTGTAAACAATTTAACAAACATGGTCCTATTAGGAGAAATATAAAGAGGACTAGTAGGGGTCCTGCAAGGTAAGAGCCAAGGTCATACATGAGTGAACATTCCCCATGGAGACTGTTGGCCTAGTTGCTGTCTCCTCTTTTCTAGCTTTACTTGTCCTTCATTACCCCCACAAAAGACTGTGTTTTGGTTTAACTATTTTGGGTAGGTGTTTAAGATCAAGCTGGTCAAAATGGACTTCGTTTCTATCTATTGTTAAGAGTCAGCTGAGTTCTCATAGGGGTCACTCATGGGGGACTTGAGAGCGGCTTCTTAGTTCTGCTAGTGCCATTTGCACTAGGATGGGTCCAGGACTTGCTTGACCATATTACAAATTTGTAAAATAGCAGTTGTTGTTTAGCCACAGTTGTATAATCCTTAACTCCTTCAAGATTACTTGCTCAAAAACTTTCATATATAACCAACTTACACAGACCTTCTTTATCACCAACTTAAACCCTCTTATTTACTTAATCACATAGACTCTCTTATCCAGAAACACTTTTTTCCCTTCTATTAAATCCATACCTAGAACCTCTAATTTCTCTTTTTCATCTGTTAACCCCTTTTTAGTCACATTTTGACACAATCCTTGTAAATTTCTGAATTTAGGCAAATTATTCCATTTTAATAAGAAATATTTTGTTATTTACAGTACACAGTTAATCACATCTGTTTACCATTTCATGAAAACATAAACAGGTTTAAGTATATAGAATTATACTGTTGTAGGGACGGACAAGGCAAGGCCCCACAGGTAGCACTGGAGATGGGGAAACAGTTTTATCTGGCTGCAGCCAGGCTCAGAGGTCACAGCTTCTGCTGCAATCAATCAATCAATCTCCTGAACCCCAAGTTCAGGTAGTTTTGGAAATTTATACCCAGCATGTAAGAGGAGGGACTCAGAAGTTCACAGTCTGCAGAAGTTCACATAAAAGCAGTTTTTTTCACTCTTCTGGGCAAGTTAACCCTTCAAGGACACCTGAGAAGGGGAGAGCTTTTTTTTCTCTTTCTTTCCTCCCCCTGCCAGCAGTTACCATGGAGCCCAACAGGTAACTTCTCTTATCTTAGAAATGGAGACATCTCTAGGAATCCCCAGCTCAAGGCCAGAGGGCTTGTTTACATATTTTTGTGAAAAACTAGGGAGGAGGTGTCTAGCATCTGGAGTACTGATTTTTCCAGGCAAGTGGCCAAGTAAAACCGAGCAACACAAAAAGAGGAAGCTTATCTACATTAAATTTTGTTGTAGAGACTCTTTTGCTGATAGTCCTAAAATCAGCCGTGGTGAAGATTTCTGGAGAAGGTCAGTTAAGACTTTTCTGTGGGCCTGGGGGTCGGTGGAGACAGGAAGGTGGTGCTGAGAGCAGCTCAGGTAGATTTGAGAATGAGGAAGGAGATGTAAAAAAAAATAATGGGAAAGGGGTTTGGGACTTTCCCTAGCAAGGAAAACTTGAGCAGTAGAATAGATAGAGCAGAGGGGAGGACGGGAGCAAATATCACAAAAAACCTGTATTGACTTTAAATTCTTAGTAACCTTGTTTTCAGTGATAACAAAGCAACTTTAAAGGCTATTTTCACCACATCTCAGATAGGGGTCTGAGGGCCCTCCTCAGCTCATTTGAGCTTTGGGTTAGCCAGTAAGGGGGCCTGGTGGGACCAGGTGTCGTCACAGATAGGAGAAGAGAGGAGTGAGTGGATGGAGGGATTCCTTTAGTACCTGTTACCTCACACAAGGGGGCAACAGTTTGGGGAAGGGCGGTGATGTAGGTTTTTGATCTAGTAATTGGAAGGGAGAAAGCAGGTTGTTGAGGCAGGGGTGATGGTGGAGGGGCTGGGGCAGAAGGTTAAGGGTGAGGACCTATTTGAGCCAGGAAATAGGGTGGAGGTTCATCAGCAGGGTCCAAAGTAGTAGATGAGTCCAGAGGAAGAAAAGGTTGGGGGGTCAGTGGTTGGGGGGGTTGGAATGCAAGCTAGAAGAATGTGTAGATGTTTTCAAGAGGTGCAGAGAGCAGGATTGGATCAGAGCAAGAAGAAAGCTTGGATATAGGAGATGTTTATCCATTTTTTCGAATGCTCGGAGTAGTTGTAGAGACCCCTTAGAATGGAGGGATCCAGAGATCCAAAAGGAGGTCATTTGCTTTGGTTGTCTAGGGGATAATTAGGCCAATCCTGGGTGCTATATTTAATCAATTTGGGGGGTTTGATGTCCGGTGTCAAGGAGAAGGTCTTGAGGTTGTCTAAGAGACATTGTAAGGGAGAGTCAGCAGGCATAGAGGATGTATTGCCATCTTGCAAACATTATATGGGGAGAGGAGGGAGCTGATTTATTGGCAAAAGGAGCATTCCCGCTAGAGCCAAAAATCTGGCAGTGCCTAGTGGCAGGTTCGAGCTGCAGAGAGATTGGTCATCACCAAATCCTGACAGTTGAGGCTTCCATCCTGGACAGGGCCAGGGCCATGGGAGACCTTGGCCAAGGCTTTTTGGGACCCCTCCTGGAGAGGCTGGAGACTCCCAGGGCCGGAGAAGGAGAGTGGAAGGGGAGGGTAAGCATATCTCTAGCAGCTGAGTCTTAAAGGTGAGAAGACTTTATGAGGGACACTGAGATTGTGAAGGTCTAGGTGGGATGTGATTTTCCTCTCTCTGTTGTATGTTCCTGAAGGTTACACAGTCCTTTGAAGATGATGTATGGGGTCTATGCCAGGGAAGAGGGAAGGAAGGAATTTTGAACCCAAGAGTCAAATCTGCCCAAGGAGGGAGTCCATGGGGACCATCATGGCCTTGAAGGCTGTGATGGGGTCTTTTCCTCCCCACAGGTGGGCGAAGAGGTCAAATCCTCCTGACACCACCATTGGGTTTAGGACTCCAGAAAGGGGAAACTCACCAATCGAAGGTCGGTGGTGGATGTAGTTCTGGAGGTCAAGAAAATGGGTTCAGGTCATCTGGTGACTGGCACGTCCGAAGGAAGAAGGACCCAAAAGTGGGTTTTCACCCTCTTCCTGGGTTTCAGTACTGGATGAAAGGAAAGTGACCACGACACTTAGAGAGACCAAGAGATCTTTATTGCTGTGGTGTCTGATTAACAAGGAAAGAAGAGAAAAAAGAGACAGAGGGAGAGAGAGAATAAAGAGAGAGAAAGAGAGGGGGGGCCCGGCAGGAGAGAGTTTTTATAGCCAAAATTAATGGGGTCTTTAGGTCTGCAAGCTGCCTTATTGGCGTACAGTGATTGGATCATACAGTAGTTGCTAAGGGTGTCATCTTCTGCCTTCAAGCAGATGGGTCAGGGATCAGATGTGGGTTTCCTTTGCACCAAAGAGGTGGGAGTCCAGTGTTCAGCCTTGAGTGGGGTTGAGTGTTCAGCCTTGATGCAAACAAGCCATCAGGAAACAGATGGGTGAGGGTCAAGTGTTCAGCCCACCCTTTAGCTAACATTTGTTCAGCCTGCTCAGCAACTAACAAGTCCAGAGCTCAGATGACCTGAGCACTGTACTGCTGCCTATAATTTTTGCAATTGAGACATAACACTTATACACTTCACAAGTTTTCACATGTCACCACCACCTAGATCAAGGACAGGACATGCCATTGCTCTAGAAGTCCCCTGAGGCTTCCTCGCAGGTACATCCTCACCTGTCTCCTGAACTTTTTTTTCACCCTTCAGGAGACTGCAAGGTACTTAACCAGGCATAAGCAAAATCGCCTGTAATGATCACTTGCTCAAGGAACCCACACAGGGATGCCTCCATCGGATCTCGTGGTCACAACAAGGGACACATCTGACTGATCAAGTAACAAATATTAGCTGGGTGCTGTGGCCCATGCCTGTAATCCCAGCAACTCCAGAGGCTGAGGCAGAGGACTGCAAGTTGTAGGCCAGCCTGGGCAACTTAGTGAGACTCTGTCTCAAAAAATGAAAAGAGCTGGGAATGTAGTTCATTGGTAGAGTGCCCCTGGGTTCAATCCTCACTACCAAATAAAAGGAACAAACATTTATTTCCCAGTGCTAGGTACTGTGCCAAGTGCCAGGTAAGCAGCAATGGCAAAGCCAGCTTTCAAGTCACTGAGAGTTCAAAGATGAGTTGATATTAGACAACTACACGGATGTATAAGGGGTACATCATTAGTAAGCAGCATGTGACAGAGTAGGAGATGTTTTGAAAGATACTGGGGGAAAGGTCAAGGATGCTGTTCCTGGGGAAGTGACAAATGCTGAGGCTGGAAAGGCCAGTGGTCAGCATTTTCCAGGGAGAGGAGGAAAAGTCCTTGGGCAGAAAGCGTGAAAATGCAAAGGCCCTTAACCAAGCACAGCGACATATGCCTATAGTCCAGTGTCTCTGGAGGCTGAGGTAAGAAGATCACAGTTTGAGGCCAAGCTCAGAAAGTTAGCATGGCTCTAAGCAACTTTGCAAGAACCTATCTCAAAATAAAAAAATAAAAAGGGGTGGAGATGTGGCTCAGTGGTAAAGCAACCATGGGTTCAATTCCTGGTATGAAAGAAAGAGAGAGAGAGAGAGAGAGGAGAGAGAAAGGAGGGAGGGAGAGAGAGAGGGAGGGGGAGAGGGAGGGAGGGAGGGAAAGGAAGGGGAGAGAAAGAAAAAAAGGAAGGAAGGAAGGAAGGAAGGAAGGAAGGAAGAAAGAAAGAAAGAAAGAAAGAAAGAAAGAAAGAAAGAAAGAAAGAGCACAAAGTGCCCAAGGAGAAGAGACTGAGAAAGGAGCTCACTCAGTATGAGGCTGAACTTCCTTAAAAGCAAGGAAAGCTTTGAAGGGCCTTACAGGGAATTGGGATTGGTGACACGTCCTAGGAATCCCAGAAAAATCAAGGGGGAAACTAGGGAATGTGGGGGGCAACATGTGGGGCAAGGTCAGCAAAATGTCACTGAGACCTGCTTGTAACCCAGGGGTGAAATGACCTAGGAAAATTCAGGTTACATATGTGGCTCACAATCATAGGTTTTATTTACAGATACCACTCTGTGGGCAGAGACCAAAGAAAAAATTTGTTCTTAGGGTTTTTTTTTTTCTCTTTTTCTCATACAGGCAATTTATAGGCGATTGAACCCTGGGGTGATTTAACCCTAAACCACATCCCCAGACCTTTTTTTTTTCTTTAATTTTGAGACAGGGTCTTACTAAAATGCTGAGGCTGGCCTCAAACTTGTGATCCTCCTGCCTCAGCTTCCTGAGTCCTTGGGATTACAGATGTGCATCAGCAAACCAGCCCTATTGGAGATTATTTATTGTGAATTATTTCTCAAAGCACATCTAAGAAAGTGTCCACATATTTTTATAATGATATTTACCATCATATTATTTAGCTTACAATGCTATTGCTGGTTAATATTTAACCACTGGGTCTCTCCAAACAAGTCCATATGTGCTATACACATACACACACATATACCTAAGATTATTTTAAACTTTCTAATATAAAGATGTATAGCACTCAATTTATATAAAACAATAAAATGAAGTATACAAAGTCTTCACTGTACTTTCCATGTGGTCAACTGACTCATTTACTGACTTTTTCCAAGACCTTCTCCACAGCCAATCTGTGGTTTCAATTCTACCCTGTGGTTTCAATTCTACCCTGTGGTAAACAGTATTTATAGTCTAGTTCATGAGATTCCTAAAAAAAATAGCAACCCATCTAGGAGAATCTGGAATCTGTAAAAAGCAGTTCTCAATTGTATTCTTCTGTAAAACGAATGTGATCCTGCAATCTGTACATGTGGAAAAATAAGAATTCATACCCCATTTGAATCAAATATATGATATGTCAAGATCATTGAATGTTTTGAGCAAATAATAAAAAAATTTAAAGAAAAAAAAGCAGTTCTCAAAAGCCCTCAGACCTGGTTCCAGGTAACCCTGTTGGTGGCAGAGAGGGAAGCAGGGTTGGGGGAAGTAGCAAGAATTAGAGTGGGCTCTGGGATGCAGGGATCCTCAAAGTGGAGCTCTGAGACCAGAGTTCTCAGGTGCCCAAATGAACGGATCCTCAGAGCGAGAGCAGGGGAGAGAGGAGAGAAATAGGAGAATAGGAAGAGGAGGAGGAGAAGGAAGAGGGAAGGGAAGGAGGGAGGGAGGAAAGAATTCAGCCACTCTCCCCATAAAATAGGGATAATCACTTTGCATGGGATTGTAGAAGGGATTAAATGAGGGTTCCATATGTATCATATAACATTAAATATATTTAATATTATAAATCCTTTCCCTATCCCAAAGAAAAAGGGCTTTGCTCTAAGGGCATTTAGGGACTCACCTAAGAATTTTAAGGAGGAGTAATGATATTAGTTTTGTTTAGGAAAAATCATTGATTGGAGGGGAGGACTTATCTTTTGTGTGTGTGTGTGTGTGTGTGTCTGTCTGTCTGTACATGCTGGGGATTGAACCCAAAGCGTTACACCACTGAACTACACACCCAGGCCCCTAGAAAAATAATCTTTTCAGCCATGTGGAGGTTCAGGAAGGGAGGGGAAGAGGGCAGGCTTGAGGCCCAGGAAAGAGGTAGTCATGGTCAAGGTGAGAGATAATGAGATCAGGGTACTGAAATGGAAAATGGCATGCACATTTGAGAAGAAATTAGGAGGGAGTCTGAACAGGCTTGAGGGACTCTGAGTTAGCCTTGATGCTTGCCTTTCCTTCTCAGCCCACCTCTACTGCTACAGTGGGTACCTCTCCCTACCACATGTACCTGCTCTCTAGCCCCCAACCCAGGCTGCTCCCAGCACTCAGCACTGCTGGGTTCCCGGGTTCTTGAACTGACAGGATTGGCTCTAAGTTTCTCCACTTCCAGCACTAACCCATATCTACAGAACAGCCAGAATGTTACTTACAAATCACAAATCAAATCACATCCACTCCATCTTAAAATCCTCTAGTAGCTTCCTATCACATTGAATGAAATAAAGTGCTTTAACCTGGCTTTCCCAGTTTTCTCTTGCTGCATTACTAATTTCCCCTCCCGCGCTGCTCCAGTCTTTCAGTTTTTCAGCACTCAGCTCAGGCCCACTCTAGAGAGTCTGCCTATATCTAAAATGTCCTGAACCTGCTCTGCCACTTACCCCCGCCCCCCTCACTCCATCCTTCTTCCTTCCCCTGCCCCCTCCATATTTGCAAATGTGGGAAATAATCATGCACCATCTTGAAAAGTTGAACCACATTAATTTCTTTTCTAAATATATACCCTAAGAATTCTTGTACCTGTTCTCCAAAAATATATTCCTTTGGGGTTCTGAGGTGTTTTTGTTTTGTTTTGTTTTGTTTGTGGTACTGGGGACTGAACTCAGGGATGCTTTACCACTTAGCTACATCCCCAGCCCTTTTGATTTTTTACTTTGAGACAGATTCTCACTAAGTAGGACTGGCCTCAAACTTGTGATCTTCCTGCCTCAAAAAGGAAGGGACTACAGGCACATGCTATTCACCCAGTCAAAAACATTCAAAGAAGTTCTTAGCAGCATTGTTCCTGGTATAAAGAACTGAACCCATTCAAAAGTCCATCAACAGAAGACTGCAAACTAACTGGTAAGTGGACACAATTGAATAATACCCAGCAATAAAAATAACTGGATGATAGCTACGAGCCTCAACATGGAAGAATTGGATCTGGGAAGTGATGTTGAGGAGAAAAAAAAAAAAAACAAAGCAAAGTAACAATTTTCAGATGAATACATGCAGTTATGATACCATTTCTACAAACTTCAAAAACAAGCAAAACAAAGAATGTATACATACATATATATCAAATCTATAAAGGAAAGCAGAGATAATTTCCTAGCTAATTTAAGACAAGGATTCTATTAAGGTTGGCACCATAATACCTGCAGGCAGCTACTTACAAGTGCTGGTGCACACATGGAGTAAATGCCTTGGAGAGCTCTCCCAGCCTTTCACTGATCTTGAAGATCAAAAAGCCAGGATGGTGGTACATCTCTGAAATCCCAGTGACTCAGGAGGCTGAGGCAGGAGGATCACAAGTTCAAGGTTGGTCTTAGCAACTTAGTAAGACCTTCTCTCAAAATTAAAAATAATAAAAGGGCTGAGTATATAGCTCAGTGGTAAAGCACCCCTAGGTTCAATCCCCAGTGCAAGAAGAAGGAAAGGAAGGAAGGAAGGAGAAAGAAAGGAAGGAAGCCCCTCCCAGATCCAGTTTCAGTAAACAATACTGGGCATTACTGGATTAACAAAGTCTGTCATCTCCGGGCAACCGAATTGCAGCACCTTGCCAGTACTAGTAGCATTTTAATCTATAAATTGGGACTGTATTTCAACACAACTTCATAGTGAAGAACTCTTTAATCAGATGTTAGAGAACCCCTTCCCAAGGGAACCCACCCCCCATCCCCCCACCATGCACCATAGATGTGTCTCCTTCTTCATTGCTTTGTGACTTCACTTTAGAACCAAGATGAACGGAGTGTTTGGGCAATCTTTTGCTTTCCTTTATTTCTTTCACAATTTTTATTAAAATACCCTTTGTTGGAGGGTGAGAATAACTTGGAAATTCAAAGTAGAAGCATGTAGCACCCTGAGTACCATTCACTCTACCCCATAGTTACTATGCCCCTACTATGCATAGGAGGCTATTCCAGGAACTGTAGAGAGCTTAAAGACAAAATGAAATTGCCCTGTTTTCTCAAGAAGTTCATCACCCAGTGGAAATATCAGAAGTATAACAAATAACAATGGTACAAGACACACATGACCAAAACCATTCATGAAAGGGTTAGGAGCTTGGCTTATTGCCATTTGTAATCTTGGGCACATACCTAACTTTTCTGGGCCTCACTTTTCTCATGTGAAAAATGGACTAAAAGCAATATTTGTACCATACCATTAATAAGAATAAATGAAACACTTATAAACAGTAGTCTGTGGGACCTGGTAGATCATAGGCTCTTACTAAGTGAACCATTTTTGTGAATACAAGGTATTATGGGAATATACTAAAGGGATCAATTCAGTATATCCTGTACCTTAAGGACAAATAAGTTTTACAAAACTGCAGACAGGTAAAGGCAATAATTTGAAGACAGCACAGAGGTGAGTTAAGAGTAGTCCAATTGCCAGGTACAATGGCACACACCTGTAGTCCAAGCTACTTGGGAGGCAAGACAATCACTTCAGCTCAAGACCAGCCTGGTCAACAGACTGAGAAACTGTCTCTCAGAGGGTGGAAGGGTGGGGAGTGGATTCCAAAGCTCTTGAAAATTATTTGCCTTTTTGCTGCAATAGCAGTAAATAATCAGGGAGGATGTGCTTAGGAATTCAAGTCTGACTCCATAGATAAGGCATTAACTCCTGGATCAGCCAGAGAGCTCAGCCACTGGTCTCTTCTGATTAAGGTTGAGAATTCTCTTTTCCCAATGTCATCTTTTCCCTTTGACTCTTTATCCCTTGTTTTTTAAATCAGAGCAGTCTCTAGGGCTCCATGTTCCTAGGCACATGATAGTAACCAGGCTCCAATTAGAGACCATTTTGCACGTTTACATTTTAGTCCAATAAATCTGACACCTTCTTGCACTATGACATAATAAATAAATCTCTGCCACCTTGTTTTTCCAGCCACATAAATTCTATTTTGCTTCCTCCTTGAGTGACAGAGGTTAAGAAAATATAATAAAATTATACCTTAGTTATACTGTCAGAATGAAGTTTTCCTGCAGCATTTATCAGGCCTACAGGAGTGGATGAGAACAAATATGGGAAAGCCACATTTATAATCATGCATTAAATTTATTATTCATAAGAAACAGATGTACTGTAATAAATTAAAATAAATTCTTTTCTGAAAAGGATAAGACCTAACTGGAACCCACCAGGAATGCCAAGTTTAAAGCTGAGGGTGACATGGATCAAAATAAAGATAAATGAGGGCTACTAGGGGACAATAAAGATCTGACATCACATTTAACAAGGCCCGACAGGGCCAGTATTTAGAATTGATTAGGTTTTCTTAAGCTAATCAAAATCAGAAGGTGGCCCTAGAAGTACATCTACTGAGAAGAAATGGGTTCAGTTAGTTTTCCACAACAGCAGAGCAACATTTTTAAAATGTACATCAAGGTGCAGCTCAGTGGTAGAGTGCTTGCCTAGCATGTGCAAGGCCCTGTGTTCTGTTCCATCCCAGCACAGCAAAAACAAAACAACATGAAAGTGCAATCATGCCACACTCTGCAGGGCCCTCCACAGTCTTGACCTCCTTCTCTGCCTGCTCCCTGCAGCTCCTCCACCCTGACCAACCTGCAGCTCTTCCTACACCTTCCTGATCCTGCCTTAGGGTGTTTTTAATAGCTTTTCCCCAGTGACTTGTCAACCATAGATGTAGTCAGGCCTTCTATTTCCCTGGGTTCCACATGCAAAGATTTGATCAGACAGATCAAAACTATTAGAAAAAAAATAATTAATTAATTTTAAAAAGAAAGTATTAGATACCAGGTGCAGTGGTGCACGCCTGTAATCCCAGTGACACGGGAGGCTGAGGCAGGAGGATCAGGAGTTCAAAGCCAGCCTCAGCAATGGCCAGGCACTAAGCAACTCAGTGAGACCCTGTCTCTAAATAAAATATAAAAAAGGGCTGGGGATGTGGCCCAGCGGTTGAGTGGCCCTGAGTTCAATCCTCAGTACCAAAAAAAAAAAAGAAAAGAAAAGAAAGTATTAGAAAAAAATTGCATCTCTCCAAACATGTATAAACTTTCTTGTCATTATCCCTAGATAGGACCATATAACAACTACTTGTGTGACATTTTTGCATTGTATGAGATATTATACATAATTTGGACAGGATTTAAAGCATAAGAGAGGATGTGCATAGGTTTTATGCAAAAACTATGAGATTTTATGTGAGGGACTTGAGCATGTCAGGTTTTGGTATCTACAGTGGGTCCTGAAACCAATCCCCACCCATCTTGGATACCAAGAGACGATTGTACCCAAGGGGGCCACCCTAGAAACACAGATCAGAGCCATCCTGTCCCTAGCTTCCCAACACCCCACATCTTCTACAGAACTTTTCTTTTTTTTATCCCCATATCACTAACCACCTTCTAGCACAATACCATGAACTTATTTGTTATATCTGTTGCTTAATTTCTATCTTAAAAGTAATTTTTAAATTTTAAAATTGAAATGGTAATTTTAAAAATCTATGAAAAAAGTAATTTGTAAAGTCAAAGACAAACTTTGTTCTGTACCAAAAACAAAACAAAAAAGTTGACTTCTACAATTTATTTTAAAATAGTGGGACATGGATACCCAGACCACCCATTCTGATTCAAAATGACTAAGGGGAGCCCAGACTAGTATTTTCTCTGTCAACAATGATTTGAATGATTCTGGTGAGAACTATTATTCATATAGGCCATTGAAGCTTATAAAGAGCAGTGAGGAAGGAAGAAAACCAGGAGAGTGATGAGTCAAAGACAGGTTTCCAGAAAGTGGACTAGAGCTGAGAGATAAGCACTGAGAAGCAGCCACTGGGCTTTGCAAAACAGAGGCCTGGGGGTCTCTAACAAGAGCAGCTTGAGAGAAGTAGGAAAGTCAGAGCTGGTTTGCATGGGGTGAGGCAGAGAGTAAGAAGACACAAGAGTAGCACCAACCTTTTTTTTTTTTTTTTAAAGTCAAACTGTTAAAGGAGCAGGGAACAACCCTGAAATAGAGACATGGGACATGGGGTAGTGTGCAGTCAAGGGAGAATCTGAGATTTTGTTTATAATTGTATTTAGAGAACTGACTTTTGTTTAGAGGACTCATGGGTCACTGATTCAGTAACAGATAAACCACAGGAGGACAGAGCCTTTGTTTTGTTTACAGGAAGGTGGTTCAGATGTAGGACTCAGCTAGATCCAAACCCAGGCTCCATCCATTTCCTCTCATGCCTCAATTCTATGTCTCGGGAGTAACAATAAGGTATATATAATGGGGCTATTGCAAGGATTAAATCCATGAATACTGAATGCCTGGCAGAGATAAGAATCCCCGATCCTAGAACACCTTGCTTGGTGTATTATTTGAGTTCAAAAAGAATATTAACTAAATGATGAAAGAACACTGAGAATGATCCAGTAGAGAAGAATCTAAATAGACCACATACGTAGTTAACCCCAAGAGGAATTGTAGATAATGCAGTGCTCTGGTCCCTCCCAAGGACATTTTCTTATCTTAAATTCTTGACTCTTCTCACCTGGTCCTCTCTTGCCTGATGGCTGGAGTGTTCTCTGTGTCCTTTGAGCTTCTCCACCTCTGCTCCAACTACCTAATGCCACAATGTCCCAGAGATTCCTCATAGAGCCCTTGTGCTTCCTATCTATATACTAGTTGATTTCATAATGTTCTGTAGCTTTAAGTACCACTGAGGGGCTCCATGGACTTGAATGTATCCTATTTTCATTAATTTCCAGCTGAAATTTAGTATTTCATTCATGAATAAAGTAGTATTGTAATCCCCGTGGCTTTTCACCAAGAGAAATCACAGACATTTTCATATTGCATTACAGTTGTCTCAGATTTCTAAAATATTTTTTAATTTTGTTATTATTTTGAAATTAAGGTAGTTCTTAGGATCACTAGTCTGTTATTTAATATAATCAATACAGAAGCACATTATATTGTTGTATCACAATTTTTAAATGCCTAATTATATTTTAATATAGTTTTCCTTCATAATCTTTGTGTGTGTGTTTGTGTGTGTGTGTGTGTGTGTGTGTGTTGCTGGTGAAACCAAGGTTTCTCTGCTTC